AGCCAGAGGGTTGGTATGGACTTATACAAGCAGATGGGGAAAAGTTTAAAAATGGGACTTTGGTTGTGTGGAAGTCATTTTTTTTCTCTTCATGCATTTAAAGCTTGTGGTCTGAAACAAAGGGGTTAAAAATGACTCAAGCAAGAGAGAACGTGACCTTCCCAGCATTTCACGTGGCTATTTGGGATTTCCATCAAGAGGCACGCCATAATGCAAAGTGTCTGCTGGGGCCCCGGTTACACGCTGAAGATGAGTTCAGGCCATTTATGAGTTGCGTGTGCTCACATCTCTAAGTGCTTAGTCATGAGTCGCCTCTTAAAACCCTTGCACCATATGACTATCCATGTGTCACACCGGCAGACGGAGAGGTGGGGGCAACAGTGGTGGAGGGGATGCAGTTTAAGGAAATAAAAAAGGAGTAAAGTGAGAGAGTTAGGCAAAGAAAGACATACAGAGAGAGAGCGGGACCCGAGGGAGCCTCCTTCATTTTCTGGATGTGGGAGGCAGACATTAAGCTACAGTGACTAGCACTACTGGCCTCTGTCTGACCCTCTCCAACTTCCTCTTAGCTCAGGCCAAGACTGACACGTCATGGTATCGGCGCTGTGCAACGTGGCGCACACGAACAACACAACAGCACCAATCTAACAACAGCTCACATCAGCCCTGAACGCTAAAGCGGATTAGGGTACAGCACAAAACATACGAGAACACAGAGAATATCACCGCCTGCGGGGTAAAACAAATGCAGGCTTTGTATGCATGTATAAAGCCCCGTGTAGCTGCCACAGCCCTTCGCCCGGTGTCAGCCCACCAGCTAATTGCAGGCATTTCCCCCCAAGGTTGCAGGGAGCTTTTCTGCCTTGAGAACAAAATATCAAGCTTGGGAACAAAATGTCAGGGAAAACACAAGAGCTGCAATGAATTACATTTATATTATGTATATAAGTACAAAATAAAACCAAATGATACCATGCGAACAGAATGTTAGAGCAATGCATCATCTAAAGTACTAGATCCGATGTAATTAAGTAATAATGCAGGATACAGTAACATTAATAAAGAATATTTATGTGAGATTCAGGCACACGTAAAAGAGTTAGTGAAGAGCGTTATGGGGAAAAAGCCCTCCAGTAGTCCATCTGTTTGGGCATGTCTCAGCGCCCTGGACAAAACACTGCAGTAGCACTAAAACACATGCTTGCATGCATGCGGCTGGAGGAACACATGCACAGACAGTCCTGCCTCCAAAGACTAAACATTCAACTACAGCCTTATAGGCTGGCCTCTGGAATTTGTCTGGGGCATAAAGTAAGCAAAGCAAAGTCAAAGTCTGTATAAGAGAGCAGACGATTAAGGAAAATTAACTGAACAGAAGGGCACTGACCAAAAACCAGATAAAATGAGATAAAATGAAATTACTGGGGAGGAAGAAATGCCTTATTAAAAGATGGGGCTCTGCCCACTCAGCAGTAAAAAAAAAAGAAGAAGAAGACAAATACGGCAATTCTTTGCTTTTTTATTGCCCCAGCAATTAATTGACAAATGTGTCACATTTATAAAAAAGCTCGCTCTCTCCACTTTGGACATTGATTTACACCTTCCTCAGCTTATGGTGTAAGAAAGTGATCAATCTCACTCCTTCTTCATCTCCCTCTCTCTTTCTTGAGCTCCACTATTACCTTGCTAAATATAACTTCCTTCCCTCTGTCTTTAGCCAGGAAATGAGTCCAGCATTCAATATCTGGCTGTGAATTACACAAGCCTGGCATAGGAGATCTTCAGAAATGATTGATCTATTATTAATTAATTTGCTAATGTCCCCGATTGATCTACAGGTGGGGAGTGATTGTCTGGGAAAGAGAATATGAGGGGGATACAAGAGGAAAGTAAAAAAAAAGAAGAAGAAGAAAGAATTGATTTCTTTTTAACCTGAGGAAGGTGGAGAGAAGAAGAATCTGTGTGTAAGATCTATACTGCATTTCTTGTATAGCGCTGAGCGATATGATGCAACAACTGGAAGGTAAACCTTGTGTTTACATAATGTTGTGGTCTAGAATAGCTAGGACAAAAATGATAAAAAGGAAAAAAGAGAGAGAAACAAAGAGAGCGATCCACATCAAATGCTACTGGGAGCAGCACATGCCTGCTCGTCTGTCTGTCTGTCTGTCAGTCTGTCTGTCCGCTTAGCCTTGAAAATCCCAGCACTCAAAGCCAGACGACCACAGAACTCATGCCCACGCCACACACGCACACAGACACAAACGCGCACACACACACACAAACGGGCTTGCACAGTAGCCTGTTCTATCCTACGCTATTGATCTGCACCCCACTCTTCATTAGAAAGAAAGATTCAAAGGCAAGAAGGAGCAGTGAGACGTGTTGTGTGTGCCTATGTGTAAAGCTAAGTGTAAACGTATGATCAAGGGAGTTGTGTAAGCTCTGTGTGGTTGTATATGTGTGTGATTCCATAAAGTTTTTCTTTCTTTCGTTTTTGTAAACCCATATGCATGTGTGTATGTATGTATGTATGTGGATGTACTGCCAGGTATCAGTAACAGTGGGAGCAGATCTGTGTTACTCTAATGCAGTCTGTCCTCACTGGGTGTTCCTATGGAAACTCTCTCTCTCTCTCTCTGTATATTATTAGACATTCTTGAGTCAACTGCTCAGAATAGGAAGACACAGATCTCATCTATTGCAATGCACTCAGTATAAAGTCCTTCGGCTCACACCTGAACTGCGCGGCAGCTTAATTTCCTTGAAATTATTTTCACTTTTGCGATCGTGGGAGATACTGACTCTTGAACTGGTCAGTTTATTAACTTGTAGACATCAGATCAATGAGAGCAACTGGAGGGTCACGTCTACTGACGCGGGCCTGAGGCGTGCAGAGCAATAGCGGCGCACTCTATTTTCTGGTAATTTTTCCATTTTTGTTTGATTAATTCTTTTAGTAATAGCACAAAACAAGAAGGCCTTGTGGAAAAAAAATACTCACATACCTCCAAACAAAACAAAAACAAACAAATTTAATACTAGTAGGTTTTTGTAACATGTAACAGACTATTTAGTCCAGTTCTTTTTGCAGTTCCTTTGATTTAGATCAGCTAAATAACAAACAGTATTTCTCACACGACGTTAAAGAAAGAAGCTTTCCCAGCAGATTCTGACAATAATGCGTGCTTTACATTTGCTTTAGTCAGTATATGAATGACTAACTATAAACAGGCGCGTTTATTGAACCTTTTTACAATTAAAATAAAGAAATAAATAATCTAAATCAATTTGTATATTTGTTTTAATTTGTTTAGTTTATGTTAGCATATAAGGAGGTTAGGATTATGGCTTGATGATGTAGCCAGGGGTGTCGAACTCCAGGCCTCGAGGGCCGATGTCCTGCATGTTTTAGATATCACCCTGGGTCAACACACCTGAATCAAGTGATCAGTTCCTTACCAGGCCTCTGGAGAACTTCAAGACATGTTGAGGAGGTAATTTAGCCATTTAAATCAGCTGTGTTGGATCAAGGACACATCTAAAACCTGCAGGACACCGGCCCTCGAGGCCTGGAGTTCGACACCTGTGATGTAGACCTTTCAAAAACTCATGTATCTAAAACCTTCAGCTCTTTTGAATAGTATTGTATCTGTGGTTGAGAGCAAACTCAGTAAGATTGGGAAAATGTCAAGCTAGATTCAAGGTCAACAACAACAGAGCACGACACGGCAGTGGAAAGAGTGAAGTTTCCACAACGTTCTATGTAAATATGAGTTAACACAAGCTAGTTTACTCCAACTGCAGGTACCAAGCTGGGATCAATGGGAAGGTTGCATCAGTAAAGGTTTTTTAAACCCACCCCCCAAATGAACCATCATCTTTTTGCATTATTTTATTGCTAAATAAGGTTGACCACTCATCAACCTTTAAAAAGAAACCTTTTTGCATCTAAATGTGTTTGAAAATTTTATATGGTTGAAAGTCATTGTCAAACAACATATTAATAGCATTCTTTTGAGTGGTCAAATGACCATGATCAAAGAGCAACATATTGGCAAGGTACACAGACTAGTATTACCAGAATAAACACGTTTATAGCATTTATGTACAGCTATGTGTAAATTATGTTTCTCATGTAATCACAGGGTGATAGTGTTGCACATTGAGCCTCCGGACAGCCAAAGCACCGCAGCTGTGCAGTGTTCAACTCCACCGATTGATGGAGTTCAAACAATTTCAGACTAACTTCCTTCTTCTTTTAGTTGCTGCATTGTCTCGCAATACATTTACATTTATTCATAATATTCAGAATATTGAGTATTTGACTATATACTCATCTTCCCTTCCTCTAATTCGTGAGCTGACACAACATGGTAAACTTTTATATTTTGCTCGCCAGAATGACATCCATACCTGTTGTTTCAGTTTATTGATTTCATCTGTAGAGTGGAAGATGGAGAAACCGAAGACTTAAGAACGCAGCTGTCAATTAGTAAGGGAGCCAAGGCAGAGTATAATTCTGTACAGGAACACAGAAGGGTGGTACCTCACCAGTCACACATGTGTGTCTCCATATGTTACTCCTTCCTCACTGGAAAATTAGTGCAGTGACAAGATGTGTTTGAGGGTGTGTAGGTGTAATCTTTTTGACAGTGAGGCACGCTCGCACTGTGACTCACTGTCTTTGCACACAATAGGTTGATATGATTATATAACAAGGTGAGCGTTAGGGAAGAGTTTATTTAATGGGAGAACAGCTTGGGTTGTGCTTCAGCATGTATTGTTGAGAACATAACCATGGCACAATTAACACTTGCACGACTTATCCAGGTTTAAAATTTAGTGTGAATGGCCTGCACTTAAGTTGGAAGTCAGTGTTACTGAATAACTTCTACGTGTGGCTAGCTCCGATATAAAAAGAGAGGAGAGTGTAGAGCTGAATCGTGCCTAAAGAGCTTCAAAAGTAGAGGACAGTGCGATGAGAACTAGAGACTAACCTCTGGAGTGGTAGTCGTTCGCTGCGCTGCTGATGGGCACTTTCTTAACGGCTGAAGAGCGATAGACGATGTGTGTCCTTCCTCCTCCCCCCTCCTCCTCCTCTTCTATCACTCCATCGCCCCTCTCGACTGGCTCGATAAAAAACTCCTCTCTCTCTGTCTTGATCATACCGGCCTGAAAAAGAAACATGACTCATTATATCATAGTAATACTTATCAGTCGCTAACATGACACCCAGCTTCTCCTCATCCAATATGTGCCTCCATCTCTCACCTCCCTGATAATTTAAAGAAAGAATCGAAGGAGAAGAGAAGGGGAGAGCGGTGATCCCTCCTGGGGCCCCCGCAGAGGTCCAGAGTGACACCTGGCATCTCAAATGGCCAACACAAGAGCAGGAGATGAGACTGTCCCACTCCCATCCTCCGCTAACACATCCTGTCAGGTAATTCCCCACGTCCCTTGTGCACACACTCACACAACACACATCAGCCTGCATGTGAACAGGGGTGAGGAAGAGGAGGTGGCGGCAAGTAAAGAAGAATACTCACAAAATACACACACACACACACACACAAAAAGGGGGTTGCGTATACATACATGGGGAAAACAGGCACTGGGAAAATTGCCCGTCACTCTCTGTTATTCCATCTGTCTGTTTAAGACAACTGGTAATTACCAAGGCAACGCACTGCTGTAGAGGAAAGAGAACACACACAGAGGATTGCGAGGCTTTTGAGAGGAAGAGAGCAAAAGAAAGAGGGTGATAAATGAAGGGAAAACATTGATACGATCAGCATGTGCCTGTCGGCTTTTCTCTCCGCTCTGACAGGAGAAGGAAAATATGACGAACAAGCTGAAGACAGGAAAGTGAGCTGATGATAGAAAAAAAAAAACATGCGTTACAGATGAATGAGGAATAAATAGCTGCGTGTGTACTGTACTGCATAGAGATTAGCTGAAGCAGGTGGAGTCAGAAGCCTTACAATGATACCAACACCTCAGATAAAAACAGGCAGTCTATTAAGCTCTGATAATGTCTGGGGGCGTGGTCAACACGATCTCTTAAAAAGCACACCCCAAATGCATGTCCCCCTGCAACACATTGCCAAATTTAAATGCAAAGTATGCCAACAACTGTTACACAATAAAGGCTTATTGAGAAAAGAAGGCTTTTAATCCAATACAAGGGTTTTTAATATGAACAGTTTATATGAAGTGTATTGTAGCAATCTGAGTTCCAAGGTTTTTAGTGAAACTCCTGGACAAGCATCTCATAATAACCTGTGTGTTTGTTCCATTGTAAAACTCAAGACTCAAGACACATTACAGTCCAACTGATATAGGATTTGATGATTTTAAAATCTGATATATACCTGAGTCCCTAATATGGTAAATATGAAAGGTTACAAAGGTTGATCAAGATGTCATTAGATCAATGGAATGAGTACATGACTTAAATAATTAGGCTGGCTCTTCAATGAATGCGCCATGCTACCTTTAAAAAATGGCGCTAGTTTGGTTTTATATCCAATATAAGATACTGGACCTTGTAGAGGGACCTCGAGATCCCTCAGTCATAACCTAAAATTAAAATAAGCTTTGTCTGTTTATTTGCTTGGTGTGTTTATTTATGTATTTGGAGAAATTCAAAGCATTTCTGTTTTTGCTTGAGTTTTTCTAGGACATTAGATCATTTTCTTGCGATTTAGTGGACAAATACACACGAATGATGAATTTAGTTGATGCGATGTACAGTGTGTTTTTTGCCGCTGCGCTGTATGAATACAACTGATTAGACTTCATGCTTTGTGAGAAAAAAGTAAAATAACACATGCACTACATTTGTCATTATTTCTTTTTGTTATTCAGTGCAGTCTTTAAAAAATCCATGTTATTGGCTACATCTGTATCAGTAATGTCTCTATAGAAGAGTACAGGGAGTCTAAATGCATCAAATCTAAAGAAATATGCTTGGTGGAAACAAGTATGCGTAGTACTTATTGACTTTTCTATCAGAAATGGAGAGTATGAATTTGTATGCTCCTAGTATTCCTCAGAGAGGCTGATTTGAAAGGACATTAGCAAAAGTTGCCCCTTAGAAATTAAAAGGTGCTCTTATTCTTGCTCTCTTCAGTTCCTTCCTCTGTCTGCCTCTCTTCTTCACCCTGCCAGTCTGATGCTTTAGTCCCAGAAGGATGTTGACAAGTCACTGACCTGCCTCCCCTTTTCTTTTTTTCCTCTTTCTCTTTCCTCGGCTCTCTCTTCCCATCCCTCTATTTTTTCGAGCTATGGTGCAGCATTCTGATTGGATCTGATGGATCTGCGATGGTGCATGCCTTCCCACTCTAGAATACCAAGCAGATGTGAGAGGAGAGCCGTGTCAAAGAAAAAAAGATGACATGTAGGACTGGGAGACATGCTTAGATCAACCCCAGAGCCCGCATAGTGGGGGTGGAGGGTCAGAGAGAGGAAAATGAGTGTGATCATATAAGAACTGGAGAAAAGCTTTGAGAAAGTGATGTAAATAGACACTATAATAGAATGAACAGTGTAAAGCACCGTCTTTATCTCCTCTAAATCATGGACACCCAAGTCCAAGCCAAGGCGATTAAAGGGAGGCTTGTCCAAATGCTTTGTCCGGATGAAGCAAAAGTTCAGATACAGAGTCATCAAAGCAGAGTCATTCAAAGACACAACTGAAAACCATGTTTTATTGATGCTAATCAATAAACATATCAATAAATGTTTATATGTAGGCAACCTCGACTCTGCTAGCTTCGCTACTCAATTAAGTCTCTCTTATTTGAAATTTCCTTTATTGGTCTTCATGAAAAAATGAGGTGTGTTACTGTTTGTCTCCCTGTTGTGAGAAAAATCAGCTTCGACTATAACACTTGCTATTAGAAATGGAAGCAGCGATTTTCATTTACACAGGGATCATTTTGTTTAACTCCCATGAAAGAAAACAGGAAGAGCATCAGCACATAACTCAGTTTTGTCAATTTCCATAAAACTCACAAATGCTCACAAGTGTAATTTTTTAAACTTTGTAGTCGTAACCTCTGAAGTCTAATGACTTCCAACCACGCTGCTTTGGCAGTCGTTGCTTTCACGTAAAATCTTTCCCGCTTGAATCACACTGATACGCTTAATGGTGAAAGCTGCAAAGAAACGTATCCTTGACTGGCACTGCACTACTTTGACTAAGAAGAGTGATTTCTGCTGATGGCTCTTCATGACGTGTGGCATTTGGCTGATGGGTAACTTCAATAATAGTGCACAAAAATGTCTCAGTTTAAAGAACACTGTTTGCAAACATCTGTATTCCTCTAAAATTATGTAACATCAGAAACACACATTAAAATGATGTCATCTGGTGATCCGTAAAATCTCAAGCTTCCTGCCAAGTGGATATTCAGCTGCTTTTATGAATTTTTTTCATTTCCTTTGTAATTGCTGTAGCTTAAAAAAATCATCGCCCTATAACTAGTTTTGCCTGTTCAGGGACTGCTCTAGGCTCAGCTGCCTTGCTAGCTGCTGTTCTCTTATTACAGTAAATTCATTGTGCTCCTTTGGGTGATGAGCCTCAAGACGTTTTATTAAGTTTGACATGTTAAAATTTAGCTTATTAGCTTCCCTCCCCTCATGAGGCACTTAACTCTAACAGAATCACTCTCTACATTTCATCATCATCAAAAAACCTTTTATAATCTGTATATTAGATCACACACATAAAGCAGCCTTGGGTTTGGGTGAAAAGGTTGGGAATGATCGTGAATTTCACAAGGAGGATTAATATCTTTTTCATCATATGAATGTAAATATATTCAACTCACTTTATGGTAGTCGTATGTGATAGGGCTGCGTATAGCTGTAGTCCTGGTAGAGTGCCTGTAGGCTGGGGTTCTCTCCAGTGAACGAGATTACAACTTCACTTTGGTTCTGATCAACAACCAATGTAGAGCATTGGGACTTCTTAGGTTTCTTTGGTGGGGTATATATATTTTTTACCTGATATAAAAATGTCAAATTGCAAGAAGCAGCATTTACATCCCCTAGTGAACACAACAATGAGATGAGCCCAAGCATGTCTGAGAGCAAGAGCAGTGTGTCAGCTTTTGATGATGATTTAATACCTAAAAAGGGAGCTACTCCAAAAATTGAAGTGCACTACTTCGCAAAATATGTACGAAATTTATTCTGACACAATTTTCACCACTTGAGGCAAAAAAAATGCTTTCAAGTAAAAGTAGTCTACAAAGGAGGAGATACTAGCAGCTGGTGACGTGCAACCAAAATGCAAACATATGACTTTAATTGTTGCTGGAGCACTCGTTAATTACATAGTGAGTGCTTATGCACTGTTGATAGATATAATGCGGTGTCACTAATATTATAGTGAGGGTGTGATGGGAGTGTCTGGCAAAGGCAAACCTTCACCTCCTGCAAAACTTCAGCAACATTTCAAGGGAGTCTGGATGGGTCATATTCCCCAATATAACTCGAAAAACTAGATCATGGACAACACAGGTAAAGTTGGCCACCATCTCTAAGAAGCCTTATCAAAATTGGTCAAACCTGTGGGACTCTTGAGAGAACTTACAAGTACCAATGGGCTAAGCAGAATGTGGTTTTGGTGGTTACCAAGGCAAGAACCAGTGTGATGGGATTTCAGTGTGGTTTGGAACAAGAGAAATTCTGTACAACTGTCAGAAAACTCAGAGGGGTGAAGCAGCTTTTAGGCAAAAATGTGTGTGGTGGGAGTGGAAGGAATATTTTGAGAATCTCCTGAATTCCAATGGCATGCCGTAATTCCATAGAGGAAGCAGAGAACTATCTGAGTTATTCATTAGCTGTTCGGTGGCTGAGGACAGATGAGATCTACCCCGTTTGTCAAAGTTCTCGATTTTATGGCATTGCCTTGATTAGCATGTCTCTGCAATATTGTACTGTCTTATTCTGTCAATGTGTAATAGTTTAGATTGCCACATGTTAATGTGAGTTATCTTTTGCATACAGTGTTGTGAATTTAGTCTGCCACAATGGTTGATGGCTAACTGTCAAAAAAACAGGCAGACTGCTGCCATGCTGTCCTTGCTGTTGTTTGACCTCTTTGCAAAGGTCATTGTGTGCACTGTAATTTATTTTAGATTTCTGCAAGAATCTGGATCTAG